ATCAGCTGATGTTAAAATGTTTCACAAAAACAACTACTATCTACTTGTACTACTTTGCCTACTTAGTGGTTTTTCACTTATCGCAGGTCTTCAGAGTATGGATCCCCTGCAATAAATGAGGGACTACTGTATTTTGAATTCTTCTGTTTCCAATAATAATTCATATTGTGTAACATTTTGACATCAGTTGACTGGTTTGATTTATGTTTTTTTCAGTGTCCTCAGCAGACAGCACAGGAAACTGGCGCAACCATCTGGCTGTGGGCCTGACAGAGTTTGATCCACCTGATGCCCGTCAGTATCTTCATGTTGGAGCTCCAGCGTCTCCCTATAACCGCAGTCCCACACACAACAGGTGAGTGCTGCACGTTTACCAAACCTGACATGCCCTGAACACAACAAGGTACTGACCAAACAAAGCTACTCAATTCAAAGGAAATGCATTTTCGATATTTCTTCACTTTTTTCCCCAATATTTTTACAAACCTGAATGTTCTCTGCTCATATTGTGTTTAAACTAAAAGTTTTTATGGGCTTGTTTTGTGTCTCTCTTTCTTTCCTCCTTCGCTTCGCACCGTATTATTAATGCTCACACATGAAGAGTTTCTTCTGAGAACAAAGAAACAAAGCCTAAAATGTCTGAGTCAGTAGATGTGCTTGGTGCTGAGGCCACTAGTGCAGATGAAGCATCAGACAACCATTCTAGCACTTAAAAGGGTGAGGCTGCACACGGCAGGACGCTTTGTGTCGTGATTTAGTCATATTCATCGTCCTATCTTCATTCATGTGTGATTCTTTTACAGCTTATATGTTCTCATATCATAGTTTGCTGTTTGTCTTTCATTAGACATGGCATCATTAATAAGACAATATAGCATTTATTTTACATAATGGCAAAGGTTTGGGTTGAATCTTTTCCCCCAGTGTTATTCCTTCTCATACGGCTGCACCTGTTGTATCATTGCCCCTTAATTTTAAGTCTCAGAGATACAACCTTGTACGATCGAAGTATCATCAGTTGTCACAGATTTATTTTACATTAACAGATGTGATGTCACAATGGCATATAGAATTAGTTATCAAAACTGAAACACACTTTACATATCGTATTTTTCGGACTATAAGCCGCATCGGATTATAAGGTTCAATATTAATGAATGGATCTGTTTTTATACATAAGGCACATTAAGCAAAACCGAACAGTCAGATAAACTTTATTTAACTCATTCACAATAACTCTCAACATTGTTCAGTTGTACCACATAAAATCAGTTCAAGGTCGGTAAGCACAACCATGAATTAATACATAAGGCGCACCTGATTATAAAGCTCATTGTCGATTTTTGAGAAAATTCAAGGGTTTTAAGTGCACCTTATAGTCCAAAAAATACAGTATATGCTACTTAAAGAATAACAATAAAAATAATATCAAATGGGATAGAGCAAAAAAGAAATGAAGATAGTTGTAGCGTTAGTAAAAGTATTTGTAACGAAGAAAGTAAATTTTTTGTTGGGGTCTTGTATCTTTCTGCTAACACAATTACAATATTACCACTTGATTTCTAAATATGCACCAGAAAAGCTCCTGATTTTTAAGTTTGTTGCCAAATCACTAAAAGGATCGGGACACTCTTCCCCAGATAGTATTTAAAATATACAAAAGTTGACGTCACCAGCAATGGTGTTGTCTCAATGATGCTTTCTGCACAAACTTGCTCAGCGTGCTAACTCACATCAATGATAAGATGCTCATAAGATCGTTGTGTTGTCGTGCTTAAACAGGCTTATCATGTCTAAAATTAAACAAGCTGATCTTGACAAGAGATTATTGCCACATTAAACAGGAAGATGACAGTTTGATAGTAAAATATTGCATGCTTTAAAAAAAAAAGCAACATTCTTAAAGTAATATTTACACAAAGGGAAAAGTAATGCGTCATTACTCAATTTCAGTTTCAAGTACATTGAGAGGAAGCCATAGCAAGATAAACAAACAAAACTTTGAAGCATTTTCTCATAAAATTCCCCAAAGTCATCCCTAAAAAGCTCATAAATGAATTAACAAACCTTTTTAAATTATATCATTTATTCAACCTCTTGTTATACA